TTTTTTTTTTTTTTCTTCGGGATCTAGGTATGAACATGCTGCTACAGGTCTTCACGAGGGTGCACAGTATTACGTTGTATTACTACTGTTGTCTTTTTTTTATGGCAGAGAGCTTTCTTGAGTCTGCACACCTGTGGGAGTCCCTGTGGGCCGGTTTATGAAGTGATGAATGTATAATGATGCTGAATTGATGATTGTGCAGTCTAACTCACCATCATTCCGCCCCTGGAACCATCGTAGAAATTGAACTATGAGAGTGTGACATGTTAACTGTTCGTCATGAAACTGCCGCACCGTTAACTGTTGTCATTATACTGCTGCGCCGTGACCTCGTCAACGTTTGTTTATTTCATAATTTGTCTTAGTGCTGTGCCATACCCCCGTTCATGAACGGGGGGTCTGTGACCAGACACCGGTCACCGTTCACGAAATTAGTTAACGCTGGGCGGTCACAGCAGTCATGGGGAGGGGAATGATGTTTTTAATTTTTTTTATGGCTGGGGATTTTTTTTTTTGGGGGGGGGGGTGGGGGTCATGGGAGGGTACCCCCTCATAATTTTTATCATTTTTTTACTTAGGAGTAGTTTTCTTTTGTAATTAAAAAAGAAAAGAAAAATCAGGGACCCAGCCAAAATGAGCATTTTTGTATGTTGTTTTGTAGGGTTTTGTTTTTTTCCAAGAAAGGTAGGGCACTGTCATGGTTTGAGTTTCTAAATACATTTGAAACTGTCGTTTTGGAGTCTAGTCCCCTCTGAAGTTCGCACTGCAGGCCAAACTCCTCCATCGCGTGGCTGTCCCGAGACAGAGTTTGTAACTGCAGTCGGCACGAGGAGGGCAAGATTCTCCGTCTGCAGTGGGAGCTGATGGAGTCCAGGAGACAGGTTACGAGCAAGCAAACGGATAGTGACGACATTTATGCCCTGAAGCAGGAAATTAAGGAGCTGTGAGGCACGGCGTTTGTGAAGAGGAAGTTCGAGACCAAGATCGCGCGCCTTAGGGCAGAAATCAAACTATTACGAGATCTGAGTATCCATGCGGAGGAGGAAGCAAGAACGTGGAAGAATGAGGCGCGCTTCTACCAGGGAATACTCCGGGGCAACATCGCTGTCGCTACCCCAGATACCCCAGAGTGTTTGAACAGAGGTACCCCTAAGCCATGTTGGACAGATGATTTGAGGCTAGTGGATAAATGAAGAGAGGATTACAGGAAGGTTCAAGGGATGCAGCGTGTATCTAATGTGGAGGTGGCAATGCTGAAAGAGAAGAGAGTGGAGGCAGAGAAGAAGAGGGTGGAGGCTGAGATGCACGTGAGAAGCCTGCAGGAGCACCTGAGCAAGCTTACTGCTACTGACGTGGATAAGGAACCGGAGATGGGGGGAACTAATTTGAAACAATGATTAAAAGCAGTCTTGCTGAGGTGGGCCGAGAAGGGAAAGAAAGCTACCTTAGGCTGGGTGGCACATACGACCACTAGCAGCAAGTATGAAGGACAGAAGGCTAATGAGCGATATGCATTCGTGGAGAATCATCATCAGGACCCTCCCCCCTCACCTGCTCCCCCTGACGTCGAGATGACGGATGCCCAAGCACAACAGCAGAACAGACCATCAGAACTGGGGCTGCAAGAAGTAGCGGACTGGCTGATGGATAGCCTCAACGACGTCTTCTGGGACGGTGTGTACAGGGCGCTGATCCCAATGCTAGAAAGCAGCGACAGCCTTCAGAAAGCTCTGCTGCAGGGCCTCCAAGAGGGAGCAGATTGGCAAATCATATGTCAAAAACTGCTCTACATCGTTCTCAACCGATTCCAACCTCCATCCGCAGAGCAGGAAATAGGTGCAGAACAGGAAGAAAAGGAGGAGCTTCAGTCTAGCAGCACCACAGTGAGGAACCAGGCGATCAACTCGTGTGGAACTCAAGAGGGGGGGACAAGGAAACAGGAACAGGAAAACGGCCTTGGGAAGGCATCCTACGATGATCCAGAGGTCCTGAGGGAAGAAGGGACAGAGGTAGAGGGCGAACACCCACAGGTGCCCCGGGCAGACAAGCAATCGACCCAGGGACAGGTAACAACGGAACAGACCAGGACGAGCACCCCTGAGGGTCTGTGTCTAGCGCTGCCAGCTTGGACGACGACCTCCTGCCAGAACCCTCCAAGTCATGCGCCTCACCCTCCTCCCAAACCCCCTGAAGAAGAACTCACCAGCAAGAGACGAAAAATAGCCCATCTTCTGGAAAAATCACCCTCCGATGGAACACCTTCGAATAAAGGCATCATCTTTCTGCCGGTGAGGAAAAAAAATGGGGCCTGGGAACTGGGCCTTGCAGTCCCCCTTGGGACAACACACGGCGAGGTTTCCATGAGAGGGCGTTCCATCCTCTTTCTTTTCCTTTCGTCTTGGGCAGAGAGTCTGACACTGAGAAAAGCGGAAATATCACAAATGGTGCAAGATCAGCTTCCGGAGGGAGCCACCTCTGCCCTCGTCACATCATACGACCATCACAGGCTGGCGTCCAAGGACATCTTTCTGCGATACGACCACGCGCCCTCAGAGGGCCTGCGATGGTTTGACCACGACGCCCTCACGAACCTGCAGTTACTAAAAATCAAAGCAGACGATTTATGGTCGGCCGCGAAGATCACCTCCTATTTGGTGAAGCTGCTTAGAAATGGCACACTGCAGAACAGCGGTCTGTTGGACTCTGAGAAGTGGCTTCCCATGTAAAGACAAAAAAAAAAAAAAAAAACTCAATACAAGGATGAATATAGTGGAAGTATTATATGGCAGGGACACGGCTTGGAAAGTCTGCAAACGACAAGCCGACCTCGACCTGCGTTCGATGGCCTGGTCTCAGCAAAACAACCCAAGAGACAGGCAATCATGGACCAACTTAAAGGGGTGGAAGGTAGGAAATGGCCGGATATAGTGTGTCTGCAGAAAACCCACCTCATGGACAACCCAGACCACAACCACATACATAAAATGTTTTGGCCCCACCAAGCTTTCAGGGCCAATGCCCCCAGGCCGGGCAGCGCAGGAGTCGTCATATGGCTCCCCCCCGACTTGCGGGTGGACATGTTGAACTGGGCAGTTGACAAGGAGGAAGGTAGGTGGGTTTATCTGTTGGCCATGATGGAAATTGAAGTGGTATGTATATTAAATATATATGCTCCCAATGATCCAGCTCAGCGTCAGCATTTCTTAGAGGCCCTGAATGCGAAACTTCCAGCGGGCATCCCGATGATCCTTGTGGCCGACTTTAACGCCGCCCCTGATCGAGTGTTGGCCAAATGGAAAAACCCCCACACCGTGCCCCACATACATGCAAAATGATGAAAGAATTATCGCTGAACTTGCACAATCTCTCAATCTTTTCGACACCTTCAGGAGACAATTCCCTGTCGAGCGCAAATATGTTTCCGAAAGAACGGCACGAAAAAACCAACGAGATTCCGAATCGATCTCATCCTAATTTCAGAAGAAATACAAGGAGCTCTACAAATCGCAAAGATCTTCCCCCGTAGCTCGTTCCTTGGTCTGGACCATACAATGTGCGTCGTTATCCTTTCATTCCGGAAAAAAACGGACAAGGGTAGGAGATTCTACAAATTAAACACCTCACTTCTGTCCATCGACCGCTTCCAAGCACACCTCAAAGATGTCTGGTCCTTCTGGCGAGAACAGAAGGACCGGATCGATGACAGTATTATATGGTTCAACAACGGTCTGGCATTCCTGGGCCGCAAGTGCAACGAATACTCAAAACTCCTAGCAAGCAAATGTCATGCTGAGGAGGTGAATCTACAACTCCAACAGCAATAGCTGCAACAACAGGAGGAAGAAACAACAAGCATAACACAACAAGCCGAGATCGCCAACAACATTCAAAACCTAGAAGCCCGCCTGCTATGACACATGGAGAACCGATGGCAGGGCGTCCGAATCCGGGGGAAACTCTCAAGGCAAGCTCGAAGATCAGTGATCGAGGCCCTAGGAGACCCAAAATGCAACCAAGCCCCCCCGCACACATCAACGGCATCCTGCACCAAAATAGCAAGGGACTTCTACCAGGACCTCTTTACTTCCGAATGCGGTAACATACCAAACACACGCCGATTGCAGAAAATAGAGGATTTTCTGCTCCCACTAGACAAAACCCTGAATGAACATCAAAGAGAAATCTTGGAAGAACCCCTATCTAAAGAAGAAATATGGACAGCATTACAACAAATGGAAGAAGAAAAGACTTTCGGAATAGACAGGCTGCCCAAAGAATTCTTGGCAGCAATGTGGCCAAACATCTCACAAGACCTCATGGACTTCTACCGGGCAGTTTGGGCAAAAGGGCAGACTGGGGAAATAGTGAGTCAGGGTGTCTTGACGCTCCTGTACAAGAAGGGGACATGACCAACATTAGAAACTACAGACCCATCACCCTACTCACTATTGTATACAAGCTGATGGCCAAAGCCCTTGCCAACCGAATGCTGCCAGTCATTCCTATAATCATACACCCTTACCAAACCGGCTTCATCCAAGGAAGGAACATCCAGGATAATGTCCTCCAGGTTAACAAAATAATTAAGCTAACAAAGCAGTCAAAGAATAATGTGGCAATCATCTTCATCGATTTTGAGAAAGCATATGACCACGTGGACTGGCTGTTTCTTGACAAATGTCTGGAGAAACTCAACTTTGAACCGGCCTTCAGGCGTTGGGTGAGGATCCTTCACACAAATGCAGCGACTAGAGTTATGGTGAACAGAAACCTGGCCCCGCCCTTTAAGCTTCAAAGGTCAGTACGGCAAGGCGACCCTCTAGCCCCGTACTTATTTGTCATAGTAATGGAGGCGCTGGCAGCCAACCTAGGGAAACACAGGAGCATCAAAAGAATACAAGTATCGTCTATACCACAGGAGGCAATTCCGGTCTGCTCGTTGTTCGTAGACGACCTCATATTAATGACAGAAGTCTCCCACGAATCGATGGCTGAAGTCCAACACATGATGGACCGTTTCTGTAGACTGGCAAATATGAAGGTCAACTGGGGCAACAAAACCCAGGGCTTGTGGATACACCACCAAGGAGTGAGACCCCCAGAAGAACCCAGAATTAAATCAGGGTGTTGGGGGTGCTCATGTGAGCAGAGGGAAGGCCAGCTACTAATAATGAATGGATCTCAGGCCCGCCTCAGGAGAAGATGACACTACGGAAGAACAAGCATACCTCGCTGATAAGGCGCTCTATAATAATAAATAACGTGATTATTGCCTCCTTGTGGTACAAGTCAGCCATCTGGGCCTTGGATAAGAGCACCCTACTCCCCCTGCAGCGACAGATAGCCGCTTTCCTGTGCAGGGGAGACCACGAGGAGCAAAACGTGATCAGCAGAGTAGCTTGGCAATCTCTAATTCAACCTAAAGTAAACGGTGGCTTGGGTATAATAGATCATGCGTTGCAAACAAAGGCGCTGGTGTTGCAGTGACTCAAACGTCTGTTTTTCAGTCAAGACACCCCATGGAAGGGGTTAGCCCTGGAACAGATCGCCCGCCTAGCACCACAAACAGGGGAAGGGAGAAACTCGTTGATGTGGCTTGAAAACAGGGGATGGTCTATCCCAAGAAGTGGCGCGCAGCATCAACGCTGTCATCCCCCCCCCATTCCATCCAGACAAGCAGCAAGGGCTGACCTGCGTAACGACCCGTCCTGGTCGGACCTCCTAAAAACATGGAGAAGCCTGTCCCTGCCGGACAAAATCTCACCAGAGAGATGGGAAAAGGTAGCACGACAACCGCTTTTTGGGAATAGATGGATAACTAATTCAAGTGGGCAAACTCTCCATTGTATGGTCTCTCCGTGGCTTGGCTAGGTGAGGCGGGGTGTGACTAGGATAAGTGATATATGGGACAAGGATCAAAGAAACTGGATCGACCCGGACAAGCTAAGAGAAAGACCGCGCTACTGTCATCGACCGGAAGAGGCCTTGGACGTCTTAATTGATAAGATCCCCTGGCCTAGTGGAAAATCCTAAGGAAAGGCCCTGTCCTTCAGAAATCGGATTGGGTGGCATTGAAGGACCGCCCAAGCCAGGTGGGCAACGTAGTGCACTGCGAATCTGACAGATCGATAAGAGTAGACCTCTTCCAAATAGGCTGGAACAACATTCTCCAAAGAACTTCGCCAAAAGAAACAGTCCTATGCCAGAAAGAAGACCTTCACCGAATCAGAATTCTCCATGAAAAAGAGCAAAGGATTGGCTATTGTCCCCAAACCCCGATTCATCTACTCGCCCTGGACCCCGTAGAGTGGACATGGACAACGGCGGTAGGGAAGGGCAAAAAAGTCACAAGATCGTTATACGGCTTCACAGTTAAAGCGACCTACAAACTCCTCAGACCGAGAATAAACCTTTGGGATCGAGTGGAGGCGCGCTGGATGGACCACTTAAATATTGACAAGAACAAGCTGAGAGGCATAAAATGGTTCAGACTGATCAAGGAAAAACCAGCAAAATTTGCCTCGCTGCAATGGTAGACCGAACACCGCTGTCTGCCGACAAATGATTGGCTAATAGACAGAACGAACTTGGAACAGAGAGGTCAAGCCCTTCCCTGGTGTAGGCTTTGCACCAACGCGTTCCCTCCCAGGAAAATACCAGAAAAAATAGAACACATATTTCTTCAATGCCCGAGAGCAGTGTGGTTGTGGAGATGGTGGGACAGAATATGGGACCAACTAGAGACCCAGATCCGGTGGCCCTGGGATTGGAAAACCTTGCTATGTGAAGTCCTATCTACGGACCACATAGATGATTTCACAAGCAATTTGTTCAAAGTAGGCTGCAGGGCGGTGCTCTGGGCCCTCTGGCGACGGCGCTGCACATATGAAATGGAAAGAGCTAGGCTGGATGGCCCGGAGTTCACGGAAACTATTCAGCAGCAGATCCAAACTCACATAAGAGAACAATGGGAAAGAGTCAGGTCACGGATCCAGCTATTACACTCACCGAAAGATGTTCAACAGAAAAT